CAGCACCATCAACATCTAAATATTTCAGAGGCTACATCTATCTGTACCCTCCAGACACAATCAAGCAAACTGCTTCCACTGATACTCGAAGAATAACCCTGTGGAAACAGGTGTTTGGAGATACTAGAACAATTACATGGAGCAGAAGAGCTGATCAGTGATTTATTTGTACTGTAACAATAGGTTCTTTCAGAATAAAGTTTAAGAAAGTCTCCTCTTGTGAAACAAATGCTCCCAAAATCCCTCTGTATTAGAATAATACTGAAAGGTTACTGCTACAGCAATATTCACACACAGACAGAAATTGTGCATGTGTTGGGATAGTTAGTTATCATTAAATGAGTATATTCCCTTTATTTTTTTCTGTATTTTCTCATGTCAATAGTTGATAAATCTCTCCATCAGACCACTTCAGACTGACTACATATTTGGAGGCAAGATAAATCTTCTGTCCCCCTGCCACTTTGTTGCCACAGTAGTTATCTATACAGAACCATAAACATATACCAAGGATTTTCTGGAACAAAAATAACGATTATTGCTGTAATGAAAATAATGATCATTACTAGTTTGGGTTTTTTTATTGTTAACCCAACAGGCTCAAACAGCTTGAAATTAAGTCAGACAAATTCAGGTGCAAAGCAACAGCTGAAGAAAGATTGCTGTTTACATGTGCAAAGAAGCAAATCTTCAAAGAGGAGAGGCCAGAAAAGAAGTGAAAAGTTGGCCTCTACACCGGGCACCAGGGAAGGGGCCACTGATTTCTGAGAAGGTAAAGCAAACCAGGGTGGTAAAGGCCAAGGGGATTACAGGAAGTGCAAAAAGCAAGAGAGGAAAAAGGAAATGGGTACTTTGGCCACAGGAAAATACCTTATTAACTCTTCTCACCACCTCCAGCCTGCTCTTTTTGTAACAGCCTTCGTTCTCAATATGTGCGTTCACATGACTTCAGAACTGCTTGAGGTTTTCCCTTCCCAACCAATAATGGTTTGCCAAGAGCCCTAAGACACCCCCAAACACCAGCGATCTTTTCTTAAAGCAGCCTCATTTTTGAGAGCATAAATATTGTATGTTAAAATTAAATCATGTGACATCAGTGACAAATACTGGCAAAACGTGCCTCGGGATTTGAGCTACTCTTGACCCAGTTACAAATGGATGGGAACAGTGGACTTGCCAATTAGCTCATAACAGAACCTTGAAAGATAATTCAGTTTCCTCATGGAAACTTTTTTCCCCTCCCTTCAGTGTGAAGTGCTATTATTTGAAGTTACAGGGGTACGTTTTTTCTTCTTGCCCGAAGGTCAACGGTCAAAGAACAAGCACAAAAACGATCCAACTCTACAGCAGCTGGAACATGAAAATCTTTGAGCTGGCTGAGGGCACATGTTGGATGCTGAGGAAAGAATGACATTCACAGGATAAAGGGAAAATTTAAGGGCACAACCAGCACCACAGCCCATCGGGTATCTGTTATTAAAATTTCCTAACCTTGCTATCTTTTTTGGCAGAAGCAAACTAGATGTATTATTCTCTGTAATCAGGAGTCTTGCTTCAGAAAACCGCCAATTCAGTAGCAAGGCTGTTATTAAAACAAAAGGAAGATCTCTATCATTCAAGGAGTTTCTTGTTTTGTGAACTAACGATAAACTAAAATTATTTAGGGAAGTTGGGAACAAATGTCCAACCGAACTGTTGCTTAAAAATGCTCCTAAAGAAAATTCAGATAATATAAAAAAATCTGAATTAAATAGAAGTAGCGACTCAAAACTATCCTTTAAAAAAAAAAAATCCTGTATCATTAGCTACTATTTAAAGAATAACAATATTATGGCAGTTCTTAGAAAATGTATAGGATTTAAAAGACTACAAGAACACAGCATGGTATAAAAGCCTTTGTACTGCTTTGACTTTTATTGACCTACATGTCAATTTACTCCTCCCCAAGCATTATAACCCTAGGTGAAAAAAATCAAAGCAAGCCTCATAGAAATGGATAAATCCAAGAGCTAAAGTAGAATGCATTTGTTATCCAGAAATTCATCAGCAATACAAAAGGTGATCCACCTAAATCTACTTCTATTCCTGAAAATATTTTAAACTTATATTTCAAAGAAGCAGTAGCATTATTTTATGTTTAATGAAAATCTAGCAATGCACTGAAATCTTAATTTTTATACTTCAATTCTGATTAAAGCATTAATAAATGTATTAATATTTTAATAAAATCTAACCATTTTGTATACTATCTTTCACAGTAGCTCAAGACCTACATGAAAGCAGGGAGCTTGAATAAGCAATAAAAATATAAGTAAATCTTTTCAGTAACACTATAATAAATTGTTCAGCAGTACTCTGTCATAGCTGTCTTTGGTAATATATATTTCTTACTACATTTTAAACATTCGCTACTCTTTCATAAGGAAAAGGATTTAAGAACGAACAACAGTGAATACCTTGAATAAAGGTGCTTTCACATCATTCACCAAACATTGAACAGATAGGCCCTTCAAACCAAGCCACTTGTATGTGATTAACGCTAATTATTATTTAAATTTTTTAAAATACGCAGCAAATCTACTTTTCATTTAGCAAAGCAAAATGGCCTCTTCACCTGTTTCATTGCACCTGCTGTAACATAAAGCAGTCCTAAAAATTACTGCTGTCAAACATGGTTCAAATTTAACAGGTTTTTAAAAAGCTATGTCTACATGAACTCATTAAATCACTGTGATACCTTTGTTAAGAGACTGCGAAATATGTCATAATGTACATTGGCCATTAGTCACATTAGATGTCCAAAGCACTCATTTTAGTCAACACATGCAAAGATTATGAAAATTTATTAAAAATATGTGCCACAATAGTTGTGTTTCTTATGGAATTGTCTGTTGCGCTCACTGCAAAGGCAAAAGTGAATTCTAATACAGAGACCAGAGGAAGGAACGACAAACAATTTTCCAAAATGGAAAAAATACGCGTCCTTGAAAGCTGATAGATACTTAGTAGAATTTAAACAGCTCTTCTAGTCAAAGACAACCACATTTTCCTCTCTGATTTACATGTCATTCTCATGGCAGCAGCGTTCAAATGACTGTACAAGGATACTCAAACTACAAAGAAAAGCCCTATAAAAGGCCAAAGTTTTTGCTATTCACACTGTTCAGATTTTCCCAATAGCTGTGATAATTCCCAGCTTTCTACATAGCACCTGTAGTATCATTATATATCCCACCGCAAAGAGAAGACACAACCAAACTTTGGGCTCCAGTCTCTGCCAGAAATGACTCACAGCGAACGAGAGAGATACACTTTATAAGACACCTCCCAGATTCTCTGAATTTGCTTCAGATAGTCCCTTTACCTTTGTATTCAAGTGTTATACAGAGCAGCACACTAAGTGTAATGAACACTGGTGTGTAGACAGAGTAATTCAATATAATTCTGAAACTGTTTTTAACCTGAGTGCTACAGCTCTGCCTTTGTACGCAAACACATCAGGAATACAGGTGTGAGGATGATACAACTTTGAAAACGCACTTGGAAATAGCTGTATAGTTAAGATGCATCTCTCTTGGGCCAAAGGAAAAAAAAAAAAAAAAGCAAAGATAAAACCCAATCCCTTTAACATTTAAGTCTTCACTTTTACAATAAAGTGGAGAATAAAGGGCAAGGTTTAATTTTTCAGAAGCCACATAAATATCCTCTTCCCAAGCGTTCTCACAAAAGTCTCTCTCATTTTCCTTGGAAAACCATAATGGTGGAAATGGAGAAACAAGTCCTGGCTCTTCAGTATACCCCTCATCCTCCCCCAACAAGCCACTTGTTTTCCAATAGACTTAAGCCAGATTTCGATACAGTCTGAGTCATCCAAAGGTTAAAAAAAAATAATTTAAAAATTAAATATTCAGTTTCACTTAGCTACATTATAGTTGCCAGTAAAAGACACAGCCTACAGGCAAGTAAAGTGAAAATGCCTCAGTGTCAGAGTCTTACATCTTATAGGGAAGGTGGTGGTGTGCGGAAAACATATGTCGTTAAAGACGCCTTACCAAAATGTCCAGTTTTGGTATAAAATAATCCATGCATGATAAGTAATTCTAATGCTGATTAGTAAAGATTATTTTCTGAATACTCTTTAAACTACAAAATCACCTTAATTTTTAAAATATTGTCATTGCAGGCCTTTTTAATATAGGCTCTTAGGAAAATATACCATGCCATCCTTACAAAATATATTGAAAAAATGCAATAAGATGTTGTTTGAACTGAAAACTCATAAAGATCATTTTCCATGCTGACAGTGTGCATTTCATCCAGAAGTTTGAAGAGTCAAATGCTACCCCAGCTGGGGGTTATTCTGCCAAATGGCTTCCAACAGTGACCACAGAGATGGAGGATGGGAGGGGTACGTGTGTGTGTAGGAAAATAAACGTGATGGCAAGCAACCCTAAACCCACACCATCTTATCAAACATCCGACATACGTAGCCAAACACACAATGCAAATCTAGAATACAAAATTGAAACAAAGAGACACGAACAAAATGAAATAAAGCCATTTGTGAGTTACCTGCAGAGATTTAAAACAAAAAAAAGCATACGAATGAAGCAGATATAATTCATATGGATTTGCCCAGGAAGGAGAAAAGGAGGGGTGAGTGTGAGGGCTGGGAGGGAGAAGAACAGATACCTTTTTTTCTTAAACAAATCCATCATGAAAGAAAATGAGACAAGATTATAAATAGGCCGAGTTATAGCGCACCATGGGATTTTTAATCTGGCTACCTGTGGTTTTTGCAGTTAAAGCCCTATTCAGCAGTGGGAAGGGAGGGGGGAAAGCGGAAAAAAAAAAAAGAAAAAAAAAACGAAATCACGTTTATGTGCCAGTTTCGCAAATGCTCACACAGCGTGCATCACCAACAATGCTGGCAAACAGGAAACACTCATTATTAGCATTTTCTAATAAGCGTACGCCTTTCAAACATTATTGATCATTACCTGTGCATCTCGTTTCCTGCATTCTTGAGTTTTACTCTCGTGCTCTGCCATGGCAGCGCGAAGCTGTTTTTCCAATTTCTCGATTTCCCGTTCATGGTCTCGGACCAGGCAGTCCTTCTCTGCGTTGTGCTGCTGGAATAGGTGCGTCTTCTCCTGTTCATGCTCCAGCTTCAGCTCCACTATCTGATTGGACAGTGAGGAGTACAGTTCATCAATAGAACATCCTTGTCGTCATGACAACTCGTCTACAGCTTAATTTTCCCCTTAATTTCATCAAGTTGGCAATTTTATTTTTACGTCACTATTACCTCACCTTTTAAAAAGCCACCGTTAGCGTGACAGAATTCCTCCAGACAATTCCAACAATGGAGACAACCGAGCAAATCCAGCGCATCCTTACCCAATTTGTTGATACAAATGTCGGAGCATACAAAAAAAAAAAAAAAAAAATTGCATTGTCGCATTCTGTGTACGGTCCCCCCGTATCCTGCTGCTGCTCATCAGCAGGGCTGAGGATCCTAAATGGTTAATAGGCAGCCTGCTCTCCCCTTAAGTATACACACACAACCCCCCCACACCAGCAATTAAATCTTTTAAAGATTTCTTTATGATTTCCAAAGCGAAAGCTCTTCCTTCGGTATTCTTCAACGCTGCCGCATATACAGTTGTCTTTTTTTTTTTTTTAATAAAAAAATAAATAAAAAAAAAAAAAAAAAAACAAAAAACCACAACACCACAAAGCTCTATTATCCCGTTGTCAGCTACGCTATCCCAACATAAACAGATGTATGTGTTCCAGAAGGGCACCTGCTGTGCTGCAAGCTTGCACCATGATTTCATAAGAAGCCCTCTATTCTCAGGATCCTTTCCCAGTCCGCACCACACTGGATGCTGTGACCTTGGCCAGTCTTAGCCTCTCCCCGCTAGACTGAATGGCAGCCCGAGACCAAGGGCCTGGTTGCCGCAGCTTTGATACTAATCCTCCCCGCCTGCGCACAATGGCACCCTACCTGGCCTGCACACTGGAGCAGCCAGGCTGCCTTTGAAGCAGGTGATGAATAGGGACGGCAGGAAGCCGCTTCCCCACTGAACTCCGGGCCACACAGCTGCTAAGAACAGTCACTTGGATTTTTCTTCAGTTTTGGTGGATTTCGGGGAGGGAGGGGGGGGTGGGAAAAAAAAAAAAAAAAAAAAAAAAAAAAAAAAAGAAAAAAAGCAGCAGCGCGCTCTTATCATGAATATGGTGGGTTATTTTCAGCGTGAGAAAAAAAAAAAAAAAGAAAAAAAAAAAAAGGGCGAACGGGAGGAGCTGGCTGTGTGTGCGCCGAGAGCGCCCCGGCACCTTATCTTAAAGCTGTAGCATTCAATTCTGGAATAATATTAGCTGTTGGTACGGCTTTCGGGTTTCAAATTTGAAGTGGGGAAAAAAAAAAAAAAAAAAAAAAAAAAAAAAAAGGAAGCGTTTTCTCAAGCTACAGATCGGCGTATTCCGGGTTTAAAAGTGAAATACGCCACCCATGCTGCAGCCAGGAGCATCCTTCCAAAAACGGAGCAAGTAGAACAGATGCAATATTACACAGTTTAACATATCTACATTATTTAATAATACTAAAGAGCTCATTAACAGACTTCTGAAGCTCCTGAAGGAGTTAACCCCCCAGGAGGCATGCATTATCTTTACTGGGCCTGAGATCCTCACAGAAAGTTCTACAAGTCAGGTTTTTGCCCAAGGTTTGTGTAAAAAAACTGGTTTCCTTTCAGATGCTAGCAGTACCCTTAGTGTGCCTACATGAAAGAATTCTTGCTCCCTAAAATAATTGTAAAGGCTTTGCTTAAGTTACGGGGAAAAACGTTTAGCAGTTTTTCATAAATGAGACCTGATTAAAAAGAAATCATGTCAACAAGTTAGAGATCTTCTTATGCATGCATTTTCTTATTTATAGGATTTTCAACTGGTTGTGCCACGTAAGGTCTGGGGTTTGTTGTGGGGAACTTCTATTATTTAAGTTTTCACTTTTTTAACTGAAGACACAAAATGGCAGCAGGCAGGGAATGCGTGCCCGAAGGGGGCAAGAGACAGACCCTGCTTCTTCATCCAGCTCCATGATGCACACGTACATCACCAGTTTACCCAATCAAAGTAATTGCAGTTTTATTCTCTTCGCTTACAGCACTTATCTTATAGACACCAATGGGTTTGAATTTAACAGGCGCAAAGAGCTAAAAAGGACCTGACCTTCCGCATGCAGGAGGGGCAGCCCCCAGTCTGCTATGTGGGAAGAGAAAGGATGGCAGTGTGAGGGGAGGTGTTTTATAAATGACAAAGTCGTCGAAAAACCCCACTCTGCTTCAGGCAAAGCATTCCCCATGATGTATTTGGTTTGCTTTATAGAGATTTTTGGCAGGGAGCAGAGGCGGAAAGACGGGAGAGGAGAGAAAGGATGGGGACAAGAGCATTTTCTTCCCTCAAGTTCAAAGACCTAGAAACCCATCTTCCCTAATGAATATTAACAACCACCCCACATTTGCAACCAACAAAACGTGCTTTCCTGTACAAATAATGTGAAGTGTCTGAGTAGCTATTTGACTGCACTGGTGAACACTCACTGAAACTCCTGTTCTCCTCAGAACTGCTGCCAAGCACTACGGTTTCTCTTCCACTCCTCCCTCTCTCATTCTTGCATTGTTGTTGGGTTTTTTTTAAGGAAAAATAATTCATGTATACTAACAAAAGGAAAAAAAAAAAAAACAAAACCCATGCTGTTTTTCAGCAACAACAGGACTTCATCACAGAAAGCTGCATGAAAACTATATTAATTCTTCATAAATCAGTATGGATTCTGTCTCCTCTTCGAGGGAGAGAGTCCCTTTATGAATGATATAACAAAACCACCTCCTTCAAAAATTGTATCGTGTTGAAATCTTTCTGCATCTACCCCTAGATGCTTAGCACTTCATCAGATTACATTAAAATGTCTGCTCAAAACCAGTACATAAGTGTCTAGAAGACAGACTAGGTGCTATACATTTCAGACAGACAAGGAACACGATATTCACAATGGGAATTAAGGGTGAGGCTGAAAAGATACATTCATTAAACAATAGTGTCTGCCTTATTATCATAATCAGATCATATTCACTCTGGCTTAGATGTTTCCTCATTTTGCCCTCCCAAAGATAAGGTTCAATTACTCTCTTCTCCACACATCTGTTCCTATACCCAGCCATGGCCTGGACACTAAAACAGGTGAGACTGACTGACCCCAGAGAGCTGTTTTTACCACAAAACACCCTTACAACCAAGTACCACAAGTACTTTAAAATTATGACCTCCTCTTACATGAGGTCTTCATTTTTTAATTCTTTCTGCACCAGTGTGACAGAACCCTATTCAAGGCAACAGCTAACAGCTGATTTACTAAGCCATCACCAGAATTACACCACTTAGTTTTAAATTTCTGCTTTTAACTGAAATTTAACAATATTTACTTACTCTTGCAGAGAAGAGAAGACAAAATTCATAAGAAAAAGCTAAAACCAGATTAATCCAAGAACTGTGAGCATCTTTTGCTATTCACTAGCATAAATACACACAGACTGCCAAACAAATCTGGCAATGCAGATCCTGCCCACCCTACGCAGGTCACTGGCAACCGCGGCTGCTGATGCAGGCAGACTTATCTGCCCCTAAGCGTGGAGTGGATGTGCCTTAGAACAACCTGCTAAAACAAGAGATAATCTAATAAAGACATAAAGTGTAATCATGCTGTTGTTAGCGGTGGTTCACTTCGTACATCTGAAGAACAAAGTTCTACAGTAAATCGCCTGCTGATTGCAGAAGATATTTTGAGAAGCCAAATACTTGTAATATGATCGACATCAGCAAATAACTTAAGTCCCTAATATAGACAAGACTTTCTACTATCCAGTTTTTGCTTTTACATCACACACTAAGTTTAGAGTTTTCAATTTTAGAACAATTTCAACTTGTTCTCAAGAACAAGTATGCCTTTGAAATTCTTTTTATAGTCCCCAAAGGAGGGAAAGGAAATTAGTTAGCTCACTACCTCTTTGAAAAATTTAGCTGTTACAATAAATATCTGACACCAAAGTATGAAAATTCATGTAAATTTATGTCCACAATTCCAGAAATATTGTAAGTAACACCTATATAAAATATAGTTTTGTATGGCAGGATGATTTTATTAGTGCTATTTTGGCTTGAGTGAACTTCTGAGGGCTGGAGAAGCCACTGAGAAGTTACACATGTCATGGCAAAGAACTGAACTAAAATCCTATGGCATGCATACAGCACGTCTGGCAATTTATGTAAAATGTATCTTCTAAGCATTTAAGAGTGTTTGTGAACCAGGTGTCTTCATTATCAGGGCTCAATTCAAAACCAGTCCAAACCTCTGTCCAGCACAGCATATAACACATGATCTATCCCCAAATTACAACTCTCGTAAAATCTACCATTTTCTGTCTCCTAAGCCTATAAATAAACGTGTGTGTTTCATGAGGATATGGGGATTACCCATCTCTGCAAATACACTGCTTCTAAAAGTAATCTGATATAACAGGCTGGAGGATCGAGTATTAATCATGCTGGGCTCTGGCTTAGCATAACTTTCGGCAGAAAAGCGGAATCTTCCCTGCAAGGCAAGGGAGCATACCAGAACTACTTCGCAGCTGATAAATTAAATGGATTTTAAAAGTACACATTTTTTTGAGATTTTTGTAATAATTTGGAACACAGAGTACAGCCAAGATAAAAGGGCTGTAAGGAGCCAAGGGCAAATAGCACAGTGAAAAATACATTGGTACAGAACCACATATTACCACTGAAATAACAAATACATATGGGGTAATGTACATGCATGGCAAATGCATTTTACTTTCTATTTCATTGCAGGCTGTAATAATTTAATTGGCATAACTGTGTTTCCTGTTATACTTCACCTTGTAATATGCCACTAATAGCTTTATTTCAACTGCAAACTAAGAACTGCAAGAAACTCTCTAAAAGAGACAAGCTGGTTTACTAGCCAAACTGAAGTTTGATTTATCCTCCCCACTACAACAATATACCCAAGTGGTCTCACTATGTATATAAAATGATATAACTGACCTGTGAATTTTTACTTAAATGTCTTCCAGAATTTTAATATTTTTTAAGTACG